TTACAGGTCCCAGGGGCGCTGGCCGGGGGCTCTGAAAGTTGTCGTCTTGGCTGAGGTTTCCCCTCCGTGCCCTGGTGAGCTGCACGATGGGCTGGCAGGGGAGATGTCAGTGATGCTCTGCTTGTATTGTTTCCAAAGCATTTTCTGATCTATCGGGATGAAAGGTTCTGGAGAAATGCTAAATAGTAGTATTAGTGTAAAATAAACATACTTCTTCAATATTTCGGATCCTAAAGTGGATCCAGATGCTTTCTTATGACTGCTGGGTCTGCTTTGTGTTTTCTGTAGCTCAGTGTGGCCGTCTGCATTTGTTCAAGTGAGATGGGATGTGACAGAGAGCTTGTCACAGAATGCTCTTGTCAAGTCTGTAAACCTGTATATTTATACATGCACACACGCAAATATATATACATAAATGAAAAAAATGACTGGCTTGCTCTAAGACACCATTTCCGAGTTTGACACTTCACATGCGTGCCAAGGAACTTGGAATACATTCAGCAAGTTTATCGGTTTTTATGATCACAGCAATCAGTTCATCTGTGTAGGGGAGAAATGGGATTTGGCTACATAAAATAGTCTCCAAAGGAAGTGGACGTGTCCATCTCTTCACAGCTTTCATACAAAGAGAGTATTAAACGCCCCTTGATACCAGCCACCAGTTGCGTTTTCCAACCTGTGGTTGAGCTTTGCAAGAGGTAACTTTCCAGTTCTTGTTTCAAGTGTAAAATAGTTTTCCCCTGGTTTTAAGGATTATTAACATTTTCATGGTTTCTCTCCCACAGAGAAGAACAACTCTGCCCCACTCCTTAAGGGTGGCGTTTTATACGGGATGGGGTTTTACCAGAGCTGGTGCCAGGGTGCGATCAAAGCGGCAGGAGCAGCTGGGTGGTCCGTGCTTCGGAGCTCACCAGTGTGACATGTTTCCAAGGCGGTGTTTCAGTGGTGTTTTAGACCCTGTTGGGGGAGATGACACAGCTGCATCATCTCCCAGCTGTGCTGAGGAGACTTGACACTACCATGCAAAGACTGGCAAATACAGAAAGTGTGGATGGGTGGTTTGCTGGTAAAATGTTTTGTTTTGGTAACTAATACTAATAGATTTATGACCAGCTGGTAAAATCTATTGCATTCTTAAAATCATCAATAGTAGGATTTGTTGTGTCCTGTCATTTGGTGGCACCTAGGAGTAGATGCCCAAGGTTTCTTACCTGGTGTATGAGATCCAGGGCTTTCACTACATCCTACTCCATCCCCTGCCAACCAAAACAGGGAATAGGAAGTTTTAGAGTCTCAGTTTTCAATAAATTTAAATCAATCAAAGCTGAATTAGGAATATTTTTGCTTCATGCACCTTCTCAAGCTGAAGACCATGTTCAAAGTAAGTGACAACGTGGAGGTTGCGGCTGATGCCTCACATCTGTGCCGAGAGCCGCGTGCGCACATTGGCTCTGATTCTGCTGTGCCTGAGACACCGTTGTTGTATTGATTGCTAAAATTGCTGAGAGTGCTCTACAGGGACCAAAGCTAAAAAAAGGCTTGTCTGTGTATCACACATGAAACCCCCTGAGAAGTGGGATTTTGGGTCCTGCCTAGCTTTTGCACAGTTTTCTGCAGTCTAGAAGCTGTATAATTACATTTTATTGAATCCATCCTGTTACTCCCTTCTGGCGCGGGATGCTCCTGGATTGATAGAAAGTAATTAAAAATCTGAAGGTTCTCATTCCTTTTATACAGCCTTTCCTGTCTTTTGTCCCGTGTTGAGAGCTTGCTGTGCTTCCACAGGGTTTTTTGGTTTCTTACTTACGTAGGGGAAGAAATGGCAAAGGAAAAGGAAGCCAGCTAAGTAGGCAGCGTGCACTTGGCAGAACTTAAGTGTGGCTCAGGGTCATTGGATAACAGTCTTGGGAAGGCAGTACAGCAAACGACCACAAATTCTTGGTATATTAGTTTCTTATCTTGTCCTATGAGTTTGGTGTTACACCAGTGCTGGTTTTCCAACACAGGGTCCCTGGTCTTTGCTTCGAAACAAACCCTGAAATAATGACGCCGCTTATTGCATCACTGGTACCAGCTGGTTTCACCCCGTCCGGAAATACCTGACATCATCTGGTGTGTGCAATCACTTGCTGCCAGGCAAAGGTAATTGCTCGCTGACCCAGAGAAGACATTTCTTTTTTTTCGCCTGGAAACTTACTGTGTGCTTTGAACTGCCGAGAAGTACTCAAGAAGACGTAAACCCATGAGTTACTACAGGCAGCACGCCTGGAACATGTAGAATATCTCGACATATGGAGTAAATCAGCACGGCTCCGCTGACTTCAGCGCAGCTGCATCTATTACTGCTCGCTGTAACCCCGCTCCAGACTGTAGGGATGGTTGTTGATGGACAGTGAATAGAACCCCCCCCCCCCTTCTTTATTCCCTTTTCATAGCTTTACACTTTATGAACAGAATAAATGTGCTACAAGGGGAGGTGAAGCTGTAAATTATTTTTGCCTCTATAAAATTACTTTATTTGGACATATGCTAAGTTCGCTGTGATTCCACTTGGTTCCTAAATCAAGTAGTTGATTAATGCATGCACTTTGTTGCTGGCACTCAGAAATACATCAGTGATTAGTTCAGAGATAGAGATCGGTGTTTTAAAAAAAACCAAACCCCACATAGGTGCACCTGCACAAAAACGAGTCAGGCAGAACTGACTGCATGAAAACGGGGTGGGCAGCACCCCTGTAAGCCACAGGACTATGGGAAGAGGAGCTGCTTTTCTGTTTCTGTGTGCCAGGAGAAGCAATGCTATCAGGCTTATGTATGATGGATCAGAGTGCAGTGGTATTGCTGCAAGCAAAAGTCATGAATTTTAATCAACTTTACTGGCGGCCTTGAAATTTGAGTTGAAAGATAAATGTGAAAAACAGGCAGCCCGTATTGTTTCTGGAACAAAACTGCCCCTTTTCTGTTGATTAAAAGAATTTTTCTTTTAACTTGATAATAAAAAATACTTCCATCTTAGTTCTGGAATTTTTTTTAGGCAAACCCTTCAGGTCCTGTCAGCCCTGGGTGCCTCCCTGGACCGAGTGTCACCTCGTGGCCACCCAGACGGCTGACTTTGGCTGCAGAGACTTTCCAACCGGCAGGGCTCGTTGGCTGTCTGCTTTCAGCCATTCTGAAAAAGGTGGTTTTAGGGCTTTATTGAAGTATTCTTAATGTTTAAAAAAAAAAAAAAAAGAAGAAGAAAAGAGAAAGACTTGCTTGGTGAAAACTGCTTAGTGGACTGTCCAGGGAGTTGGAGTCCGGTTTATGTTCATTGGGGAAATTTGGCACAGCCTACATACTTGTCCTTTCCCTGTGTTGCTCCAGGGCTGCTTTTAAGGTTCTGTCGTTGCTGTATTCATTTGGGTATCGGTCTTCCTAATTAAATATAAGTGATTTGAATGCCGACATTGTCTGGGGGGGACATCTAAGCTTTGGGAAGAAGCGGACTGAAACTACCAGCTCATGTCCCTGGACAGAAACACACACCCATCGTCTTACTTCCAGCCTCTGCCTGGCTGGTCCAGGCTACTTTAAGTAACTGAGAGTGCTTTCCTCACTCCTCTGTACAGAAGTTTCCTTCAGGGGTTATGATAGCCACTTTTCCTGTTTTGCCATTAAGTCACCTCTGTGCAGGAATAGCTTTGAAGGGTTGTATTTAAGGGCAAACAACTTTTAAGAAAGGGAAGGGAAGAATTAGCCTACAAGCACCGGGGAGGAAAAAAAAAGTGTGGAAGGCTCCCGAGTTGCTCCTCCTCTCTCAACCGCAAATGCTGTGTTATTTTCTCTTAGCATCTTCTGTGGTTCAGCTCCACACCTAGTTTCTCATCTCCTCTGATAGCTGTGGGTTCAGCAACTGCTTTGTATTAGTGAATAGTTCATTGCAGCTGCAGCAGAGGCTTATTTGATGCTCTGGGAAATTCTTGCTGCTTTCACTAGTGAGAAAGGCCATATATTTTGGGGGCCTAAATTAGTGTGAAAGGGCACATACAAACCTGCTAAGTACAAATTCCAGCTTGTTTGTGCTCTCAGTTGGTTACACCCTTGGCTCAGAACCCAAATATTTCAAGAATTTGGGTTGAGGTATATGCTTTCCCAAAAGAGGCATGAAGTTAGATTCCCCTTTTGCATCAGTGGGTGCAGTTTCTGTAAGGTCACCAAGTATTTGCTTGAAGCAATTCCTTCAAGGCATGTCCAGAGACTTTGGGAGGGGAAGCGATGCTTTGCTCTGGTACGAGAACCTGGTGGCTGCTCCTCGCACAGCTGAGATGTCTTGGCTCTTGCTTTAATTGGAATACACTTGCTGTAGAGGAAACCCACCTTATTTTCATGTCCCTTTATGGCAGCCAGGATGCCTTATAGTGCCACACTTTGCTGTACTGAGGCCCATGGAGCTATGCCTGCTTACCCCAGTGGCTGATTTTTTTTTCCCCTGAGGCCTTCAAAGCATGTACCTATGCCGAAGCAGAAGATTAGTTTCACTAAGGTGGCTCATTTCAGATGCAAATGCTCTATGGGCTGCTGCACAAATTAAGCCTGCCTGATTTTTATTTTTTTTAAATTTAATTTATTTATTTTAATGCCCCACTGGAAACACTCTCTGCTTTGCTTTGCTTGCTCCACCTTCCCATGTTGCTGTGCTGCAGGTCCAGAGGTCGGGGTGGTAGGAACCCATTTGGTGGCATTTGCCAGTTGTCATATTACGCCATGGTGGGGTCAGCCTGGATAGCTCTTAGGGCTCTTACTATTCCTGATGTTATTCCTGGTGTTACTTCCCTCTAATACTGAAGAAAGAGAGCATTTGCCAATGCCTCGAGGTGTCCTAACATACACAGATGCCACGTAATCAGCTGCCTGAGCAGGTGGATGGAGGTCAGGGGGTGCAGCATGTTGGGGTGATGGGGTGGGATGCGGGCACTGCTGGGCGAGCCGTCGGTAATCCCTGCACATCCCTTTCCTTGCAGTTACCTTGCCGAGCAGTGCTGGAATGGCGGCTTCGTCTACTTGATCATGTTGCGCCGCATCAAGCGCAAAGCCCCTCTTCCTCCCTCCAACGGCAACAACAGCAACAGCTGTGACCCCAAAGCCAAGCCCAGCCCTGAAGCTGGTGACAGAGCTGCTCAAAATGGCAAAAGGACCAGGAAGTTTGGGGTCATCACCAGAACGCCGGGGAGCAAGGAGAGCAAAGAAAAGCCAGGCTCGGAACACGGGAATGGGCACTGCACCCCAATGGAGGTGGAGGTTGCTCAGCCAGAGACCTCGGAAGCAGAAAGCAACGGGGAAGAGCAGCTTCGGGGCCCAGGGGCACAGTACCGATGCCGGTTGTCAGACGGCGGGGTGCCAGACATTGGCGACCAGTCTGCCCAGGTATGTTTGCTTTGGGTTTTTCTAGAGAAGCAGGCAGCAGGCATGCAAGAAAATTAAAGGAATTTCTTGAGGGGTTTCCCTGGTTTTAGCTCACCGTCCTTGGGGCTGAGCCTCCGTGGGACAACCCAAGCTGTTGGGGTGCTGAGCCGTGGGATGCGGTGCAGAACAGGGGGGCAGGAGGGTTAGCGAGTTAAATAATGACTGTGAGAAACCTGTGTCACGCTCCATCTGTGATGAAGGGAAAGGTCCTTATATCTCTGATCAGTCAGGGTTGGCCTCAGGATTTCTTCTGTTGAGACAACTGATGACCTTATGACACCAGGGCATGAGGTGTCAGTGGAAGATGGTCATTTTGTCCTTTGGAGCTTCATGTTTAGCTCTCTCTTAGCGCAACAGCACCTTAAAGCTCTTGTTAAAATTGGAATTGAAGCTTCCCTTTTTGATGCACCAGACCACGGTGCATTTATTTGTGTTACAAAACTTGTTTGGCCAGTGTTTGAGGACCACATGGAAGTTATTGTGAGTTTTGCTCCAAGTTGATGAGATGGACGATTTGTTAATGTTTGGGACGACAGTGGGATTGGAGCTTTCATTGCTTCTCTCTTCATCCTAATGGAGATCTTGGGGTTTGTTGCCTGGCTAGAATTGCGGTGTTGCTGGACGGAGAAAAATAACCCGAGCCTTGGTCAGGTTTCAGTGTGCATCTATCACCAGAAGAGCTGTCTGCCAATCTTTCCGGAGACACCGATAGTATAAACAGATGAACGTTGCTGTGTTAGGCTTGGGGCTTGCTGCAGCAGCTGGTTTTGGTTTTAAGACTTTAAAGCTGGTGACAGAGCAGTATGAGTGGACATCTCATCACTAAATTCTGTTGAAGAAAGCATGGGTTTAAACGTGGCCTCTTAATTTGTGATCCCCAATACTATGGCAGGGTGGTGGTGATGGTGGGTGTTAAATTAGTTTAACGTAAAATACATTGCAGGGGCTAAAATCAATTTTAAAAAATGCTGGTCTTAAAGCAGCGTGGTTGAGAAAACCTGTTCTTCCCATCAGCAAGACGTGTTGGATTTCGTGGTGCAACAGGAAGGGGAGGATGTTTACACAAACTCTTTTTGCAAGCCTTGTAACTGTAGGCTTTCTGAAAGAAAACATTAAAAATTTAAAAATAAATAAATAAATCATTTGGTATTTTGAAAGCTCTGGTCCATATAAAATCTTGAATCTGTTCTGAAAATGTTTAATTAAACACATGTTATAAATGAAGATGATGAGAGTTTGTTTTGAGGAAGTGGAAGGCTAAAGTGTGTGTGTATATGTATATATAAAAGAAACTCTTGAACCAGAGCCATCTCTGTGTTACCTTGATGTTTTGAGTCATTTAGGTCTGAGAAGTAAATTGTTAAATTTAAAACATGTATGTATCAATGTGAGCAATAAATACATTTTTAATGCAAAGCATATAAAAGGTAGCTTTGTAAAACGTAAAAGCGTAGTTGAGTCACTGAAAATTTAAGAGCTATAATCTGTTCAGTTGTGGTGTATCTGTCAAGAAGCCTGTTGGGAGGCACAGTCATTTAGTAAAATTGCTTCTCTCCCTCTGTTAATTTTTTTCCCCCTGTTAATATTTTGCTTAGAGATATGACCTCTGTGTGTGTCAGTATTAATTACATTTTCCTGACATCTGAATGAGGAGAAATGTGAATAGCTGGAGCCTGAATAGCATGCCTGGCTCATCCTTTGCTTTTTAAAGACAAGAGGGCCTCATAGAAGCCCATCACTTCAGCATCTGTGGGGCAACTGCTATCAGAGTAATGAGTTGACTTCAGTTTCTTAATAAGTATTGAATAAGTATTGAATAGTGACAGCAAAAAAATATTAAAGGCAAGGAGTAAAGACACTTGGGAGCCTCATATCTCACTTCCAGCTCTGCTTTGAAAGCGTGACCTGGCACTCAGGCATGTGAGATCCAGTCGTGTCAGGAGCCTCTTGAAAACGGCATCCAGGACGTCTTGTCAGAAGTTGCAGCCTCCTTCCAGGCTTCAAAGCGCGAGCCAAACCTCTCATAGCCGCGGGATGAGTTATCTCTTCCTGAGCAGGGACAGGGTGCATTGGCAGGGCACCTTCTCCGTGGGGACTTTCTGAAGTCTCCAGCCCTGCTGCCCACCCCACGCTCACTGTCTCCTCCACGCGTTGACTAATTGAATATCCAGGGCTGTCAGCCTTGCACCTTTGGGGAGCACTATATTCACTTGGAGAGGACGAGAGCCGGCCTGGGGTGGGCTGGAGGTTGGCTGCGGGTGGGAGGAAAGCCTTCAAGAAGCCGCTCCGCCAGCAGTGCATCTGCAGGGGGACCTTGCTGGTCCTCCCCACTGCCCTGGCCCTCCTCGCTGCTCCTTCCCCCTCCCCTGCCCCAGGATGCAGGTTGGGGAATTACTGAGATTGGAATATGGAGACCAGGAACATCACTTTTTTGCTCCCTGTACAAAGTTAGGTTGAAGTTGTCATAACAAAAACAGGGGAGAAGAGGTTGGGTCGAATCGGTGTGTCTTCAGCTGCTGCTGTACTCGAAACCAGCAGCCAGCTCACGGCTGATGCTTTGGGGATGTTATACTGGGAGTGTTTTTGAGGCATCCACGTGTCTTCGGTGTCGTTTGCTTTCAGGGTACCTCCTCTCCCATAAGCGTGGGGTTGTCCTTCTGTTTTCTCGCTGCGTGCTGCTATTAACAGCAACGCTGAGTCGTGAAACAAGAGACAAGACAGATACTGTTTGTCAAGTGAACCTGCCAGGAGATTCCTGCGTTACTGGTTTGCGGGCATGTGCCAGTCCCCTCCTTCGGGCTTGCTTTCATCTCCCAGATCTTGGTCTGTCTCTCCTGTGCACTTGGCATTGCTATTGCTGTGTATAAAGGTATCTGACAGGCTGTTTGCTGGTATGTAACCCTCAGTAAATATTGTACCCGTCAATTAGCAGGCAGCATTTAATGTTTACAGGTGGTTAAGTTATGCTGCAATATTTTTAGGATGAACCTAAATGCCCTTTAAAATGCGGGGATTCAAAGCAGCAAGGCTGTGTCTGCCTGGCAGCGAGATCTGGAAGGTCTGGAAAGCACACCTGACCTTGGAGAGGACCCAGGCTGGCTGCAGTGGGAGTCGTGGGCAGTGATTTAAGACCAGGCAATCTCTGAGCCGGAGTAATGATCCGTCACTTCCTGGGAAGATTGGGGAGCTTAAATACAGAAATCAAAGTTTACCTCTTTTATTCAGCGGCCCGAGACAGAGCAGTGTTTTGTAGGCTGGTAATTATAAAGGCACAGATGAAAGGGGGGCATAGGGAGGGGCTGCTGGAGTCAGCTGAAAAATGGTAAAGAAAAGGAAACTGCTAGGTTTCCTCACAATATACCAATTTTGTGGTTTCACTGTGTTCACCAGTAGCACGGAATCCCTCCCTTTTGTTCTCAATTTCTCTATCACGGTGTTTTTTGGAAGAACGGTGGACCACTTCGTTAGCTGTTCAGCCCCTAAGGAGTGCCCAGAGGTGGCCAAGTACAGCTGGCACGGGGAGGGATCACAAGCAGGAGGACTGTGAGGGTTGTGAGGAGCAGGGTTACGAGTGTGAGGGCTGGTAGCATAGTTTTCAAAGGAGACTTGACCTGATCCAGGCCGGGCCGGCATGACGAGAGGCTTTCATTGATGAAGCCAGAAGCACCTTGGCTGGAGATGAAGTGCATCACTGGCCACCTTTGCTTCCTCCAGCCCCAGCAGGATGCTCTGAAAAGTCTTTAAAACACCATCTGTTAAAAGCAAAACCAAGGCAGCTTCAGAACCCACTTGAATCCTCTTGCTTCTGCATAAGCATCTGGATTAGTAAGGGATTGAAATCCAGATCCAAATTTAGCAGTCACAGGTGGAAACTGTGTAAAGGAGATTGGGCAGAGTAACAGTGCGTTAACAATGAAGGGAGGCAGGTGGCGAGGGGCTGGGGCACAGCGTGAGGGCATTTCTCCGTGGGGAGAAGTACGTGGCGTGGGAGGAGTGTGCACCAGGTCTCCCCGCACTGCAGCGTTGGGCTGTGGTGGGACGCCTTTCCTGGACAGAAACAAGTCAGTGCCTGGTGGCCCCCTAAGGTGTGTCTGGTGTTTTTCTGAAGTCGATGTACCATCCATCTTCTTTTGTTCGGGCACGTTATTGCTTTCTTATGAAGATGGCTTGTCTCAGGAAAGGCTGAATGCTTTTGAATTGCATTTTGCTTTGTAGTTAGGAAGGGCTGACAGCCTTTCTATAGCAATATTTACCAATTAGCATTGGTGAGTGCCAGCCTTACCTTGCGTTTTGGTTAATGGATAATGTTCTTTATCTTGCCAAGCAGAAGAGGAAGGCTAATGGCACGTTACAGGAATCAAAATATGAGGCTTGAAATAATGTACTGGCTTTAAGGGTTGTACTATTTTTTTTAAACATGATGGAAGAAAAAACAATTCTCATCCACTTGCTGTACCCAAATGAAAACCTTGCTGTGAGCAAGGTACTTACAAGGGTAAATACAGCTCTGCTGAAGCTAAGTTGCTTTACATCAACTTTTTTTTTGGCAACCTGAGCAGCAATTATTGTTTCATCAAGGCTTTTATGGGACTCTTATATGATGCATGTTTTAGACATAAATAACTCTGGTTTTAGTTTTTAATGCAGACACCTTTAGTCATGTAAAGGCTTTCCTCGGAATCCGTTTCTATTCTTAACGTCTTTTTATCTGTTGTGTTTGCTTCCAACTTTCATTAACACGAATCCTGGGGCTATCTACTGTCTTGAAGTTTTAATGTGCACTGTGATAAGCATGTCTTCCCTCTCTCTTACCTGTTTTGGGTTGTAAACTCTCTTAGGGACAAGGGTTGTCTTTTAATTGTAGCTGTACTGCACTGACAAAACTTGGCCTTGCTTTTGCTTGGGGTTTTAGGAAGTGCTTTGATGTAACTAGTAGTGAAATCACAGTCAATTTTTTTTGC